CGTCATCATTGAGGACCTTTGTGGTGCTGGCACGGTACAGATTCTATTTATTAAATGCTTGATATAACGATTGCTAGCAACGCCGGCTGGGCGTGTCCTACGGCTTACCTCCCTACTAACAAAAATCCACTCTTCCCGTGACAATTATGAGGGGTCGTAGAGTTCTCTGCATCTCTCTTAAGTAAGTGTCGGACTAACATTCCTCCCCTTTCCCCACCAGATGCAAGGACGTGGCCAGGACAGCTCTGGTCTGTTGGAAGGAGAGGCATCCTTTATCTAAGAGGTAGTAATTAATCACAAATTACTACCTAACCGCAACGGATGAAGGTGAGTTTTCTTCTTAACAACAGTTTGGAGCTCGTACCACCTACGACATTGTGCAACCTGGTTTATGCTATGCTATGCTCCGTCTGATATTTCAACATCATCGTTTAGTAATATGTCGCAGCTACAATAAATTGATATAAATCATCATCGAATTCATTTGTCATCGTCGGCTAAATTGATGATAACGGATAAGTCACAAATAACCAAAGAGTGTTAAAAAGTGACTATAATTACAAAAAAGGAATGTTTCCTTATCAACATAGGGGAAATAGATGTAATGTCGGCCTAAATGCCCATACATAAATTCAGCAATCGACTAATTTTTAAATATCCATTAAATTTTTAGCGATGGGCCCAATCTTAGATTCATAGGCCAACATATTTTTACGCTATCTTAAAGGTTCAGGCCTATTCTGCGCGGCGTGTGAGGTGAGGTGACACGCTCTCACTTGTGAAGTGACAATTGTCACCTCGGGTGAGGTGACTCTCCGTGCAAATCAAATGGAGAGTCACCTCACCCGAGGTGACAATTGTCACTTCACCATCACTTCACTGTCACTTCACCTCATACGCCGCGCAGAATAGCCCTGGTTATTACCATTGGAATACGGAAAAAACATAAAACTTCTAAAAAAATACTATTTAGGCCTATTCTGCGCGGCGTGTGAGGTGAGGTGACTCCATTTGATTTGAACGGAGACTCACCTCACCCGAGGTGACAATTGTCACTTCACCATCACTTCACTGTCACCTCACCTCACACACCGCGCAGAATAGGCCTAATTAGCAATGAATTGGAGACTCATTAGTAAAGGAGTTCCGTTCACCGCTCATACCTGATAAAAATAACCATAAATATGAGCTTAACGACGTGTTCTAGGTATCATCTAAACCATTTGTGGAATAGTTTACGCATCCGGGTTATCGTTCGTTTAGTGTTTGTGTAAAGAGCGAACACGAAATTATTGCGACACCGAAAATGTCATGCCAATTTTCTTATAATGTTTAGAATCAAACCAAAATTTTAGGGTAGTTTTATACATATATTTACATCAAAAATCAAAAGAAAAGTTAATCGATGGAGCCTTGAGTGTAAAATTGAACGCATTTTCGCTTGATGCCCTCCATCAAAGTCTTTACAGTGTCATCCGGTACCAGTTTCTCAGTTTTTTTTCCATTTTCTTCCTTGTCCTTCTCGTCTTTGACTGTCTTCTTGCTCTTCCGAAGTTCCCGCTTCATTATTGCCCAGTACTGCTCCACCGGGCGCAGCTCCGGACAGTTTGGCGGATGCATGTCCTTTGGAACAAAATGGACAGAATTGGCCTCATACCACTCCAGGACAGAATAGTGGCATGATGCCAAATCTGGCCAAAATAGCGGAGCTTTGTCGTGCTGCTGCAAGAATGGCAAAAGGCGCTTCTCGAGGCACTCAGATTTGTAGATCTCGCCATTTACTGTGCCCTTTGTCACGAAAGGCTCACTCCTCAGTCCGCAAGAGCAGATGGCCTGCCAAATGAGATATTTGGAGGCGAACTTCGACATTTTCTTCTTCTTAAATTTGTCGTCCACATCGAACTTGCTGGTGAAAAACTCCAACCCCGGAATTTGCTTAAAATCGGCTTTTATATACGTTTCGTCGTCCATCACACAGCAGCCATATTTTGTCAGCATCTTCTCGTAGAGCTTCCGTGCCCGAGTTTTAACCGTCGATTGTTGCCGCTCATCGCGGTTTGAGAAGTTCTGTACCTTGTATGTATGTAGTCCAGCTCTCTTCTTTGCATTCTGGACGTAGCTCTGCGACATGCCGATCTTTTTAGCCAAATCACGGCTTGAGACGTTGGGATTTGCTTTAATCATCCGCTTCACCTTTCCCTCCGTCTTTTTGTTCTACGGTCCCGGTTTTCTTCCAGCTCCTTTGCCGTGGTCCAACTTTAACCGCTTCAACACTCTGGAGACGGTTGAATGGTGAATATTCAACATTTTTCCCAACTGCCGGTGCGACAGGCAGGAAATTCCAGGTGTTGGGAAAGAATTTGTTCTCTCAACTCGCGTTGGTTCACCTCCATTTTCGTTGAATCGAAAAACACGACTTCGAGTTTGACAGCATGTACACAATACACATCAATGGGAAAGTGTGCAAAATTTGGTTGATTTTTACCCAATGGTAAAAAAGTTATGCCCTGTTGAATGTGTCGCAATAATTTCGTGTTCGCCCTTTATTAGTGGAAATATTTACTTCAATATTTATTTTACATTTTCTAACCATTTAACATGATATATGGTTTGTAAGTTGTTGATCAAAAGTTATTTTGTTCGACAACAATCAGTGTAATAATGTTGAGAACGTTGCAAATCATGAACAGGCATCTAAAATGAGAGAATTAGCTGATAAAATGTACTTATTTTGTGAACTTTTTCGACAAATTAAAAAAAATGAGCGGTAAACGAGCACCACACGGTACATCTAATTCTTGTATTCCGATTCGAACAACCAGTTCGGATCTCCAGCTGGGAAAAGCGTACAATTCCATGAAAGTATACAGCATCATGGTCGATATGGGTATTTCTTCCTTAAAAGATGGATGCACATTAGACCTGTTCATTTTAAACGAAATGTTCGGAATGTAACGGGTCAACCGTGATTACTGTTCGTCATGTTAATTTGTACTTCTGTGCAAATTTTCAGCAAAATCGGTGATGATTTTGAGGTGCTTCAAGTTAATTTTATGTTTTTAAGGTAATTTACGGCTTACAATATTTGTATCTCGAGACTGAAATAACGAAAACTGCTGTAACAACTTTCATAGCAAAGTTATATGTGTCATGTATCAACTTTGTGACCAAAGGTTGACTATTAGAAGTGATTTTATTGAAGTTTGACTTAGTTTCATGCTCGAAGATATCTTAAAATGTGAAGAATTTTAAAGTATTTGTTCTACGAATTTTCCACCCGTATGATATAAAAATGTGTAGTGTACGGCATAATGTTCCTCATATTGTTCTAGAAGTTTCATTCCAACATAGTTTGCGTGTTTATTTCATAGATTGAGAGATAAAAATCAGAAAAGAGGCCGTTTTAGCTAAAATTCACAAGACAACAGAACCAATAAAAGTCAATTAGATTGACAGAACATAGTTGCATTGCTTTTCAATGACGACCGATGACTGTTTCATTGATATATGATTTTTCCATAACTATGAATCCTCAGTAGACGTGTTTTTTTTATCAAAGGCAAGTGTCACTCGAGCCATTCAAAATATTCGTTATTTTATAAATTGCTGTTATGGTTCGAGTGACACTTGCCTTTGATAAAAAACACGTCTACTGAGGATTCATAGTTATGGAAAAATTATATATCAATGAAACAGTCATCGGTCGTCATTGAAAAGCAATGCAACTATGTTCTGTCAATCTAATTGACTTTTATTGGTTCTGTTGTCTTGTGAATTTTAGCTAAAACGGCCTCTTTTCTGATTTTTATCTCTCAATCTATGAAATAAACACGAAAACTATGTTGGAATGAAACTTCTAGAACAATATGAGGAACATTATGCCGTACACTACACATTTTTATATCATACGGGTGGAAAATTCGTAGAACAAATACTTTAAAATTCTTCACATTTTAAGATATCTTCGAGCATGAAACTAAGTCAAACTTCAATAAAATCACTTCTAATAGTCAACCTTTGGTCACAAAGTTGATACATGACACATTAAACTTTGCTATGAAAGTTGTTCCAGCAGTTTTCGTTATTTCAGTCTCGAGATACAAATATTGTAAGCCGTAAATTACCTTAAAAACATAAAATTAACTTGAAGCACCTCAAAATCATCACCGATTTTGCTGAAAATTTGCACAAAAGTTCAAATTAACATGACGAACAGTAATCACGGTTGACCCGTTACATTCCGAACATTTCGTTTAAAATGAACAGGTCTAATGCACATAAAGCGATGCAACGCACAATTTGACGACAAGTGTTTCTCATAAGTTTGTTAGTACTTTATTTCGCCACCGATTCGTCTTTGTGTGTATTTGTTTAAAAATCTAGCCTTTTATTTAGACTGTTATCTCCAACTCTCTGCTTCTTCTTATTCTTCTTCTGCTGCTGCTTCTCTTTTCATTCCGATAATCTTTGCTTCATATATTCTAAAGTATAATAATAGGAGTTTTTACCATTATTAATTAGTAATAAAAACACATCTAATAGATGCCCGCGCGACAAGTAGTAAAAAAGAATGGAGAGAAAAAAAAACCGGTAGTTTGCTTCGCCCTGCCGAAAAAATGCTATACGTTTGCCTTTCTGGTTCCGTGTTTCCTTATTTTGATCCGATTCGAATACTTCGCGATACTAAAATTTACTGCTGTTGATGCGAATGATTGGTTAAGATTACGCTAACAATTTCCGTTTGCTCCCGCGCGTGTTTCGCACACTTTTCCACAAGACAAATTGAAATAAAAAAATGTCAGCATATATGTGCTTGGCTGCTGTCGTCTGGGTCGTATCATCCCTTTCACCTCGCATATCTGAGGATGTGTATGTTGCATTATGGATTTTTTTTTTTGCATATTGTTTACGGTAGAGATAGATTTGTTTTTTTCGTGTTCGTAGCTGGTATTCCAATCTGGCATTTTACATATCCTGCACAACTGCTTTCCTATCCTATGTTTCTATCAAAACAGATCCAGCATTTTCCTAACATGCTTTCCTTTCCTTATAGATTTTTCTTCATCTCCTGTTCTTAGCCGATCGACGACGACCACCATATTTATTAAACTTTTATCATTTTTTGTTTTCTTCTTTTTTCTTGTTGCTGTGTATTTGTGTTTGCATCTCACGAAGGAAAAAAATGTTACCATTGCTCTCTTAGAGCAACACACATTTACTCTTCTTCTTCTTTTTGACCTGTAACGCGGCCCTGGTGGCAGTTTCGAACACCTCGCGTACGCCCTCTTTCGACTTGGCCGAACACTCCAGATAAGCGAAAGCGTTAATTTTCTCAGCCATTGCACGTCCTTCCTGTGGCTTCACTGGCTCCTGTTTCATTTTGGCCAATTCCTGCAAGAAGAGAAAGTTAGGTAGAGGAAACGCAAGGAATCTTTATTCTAGCGAAGATCTTACCTTTATAGTGTGAGGATCGTTTCTGAGATCTTTCTTGTTACCAACTAGGATTATGGGTACGTTTGGACAAAAATGTTTGACCTATCAAAAATAAAACCGAAAAAATAGGTATCAATAAAGGAATTAGGTTTATGAGAAAAGGAAACTAACCTCAGGCGTCCATTTCTCTGGAATATTTTCCAGCGAGTCTGGCGAATCGACCGAGAAGCACATCAGTATGACGTCGGTGTCTGGATAGCTCAAAGGCCTGAGCCTGTCGTAGTCTTCCTGCCCGGCAGTATCCCATAGCGCTAGCTCAACCTAGATATCAGAACAAGAAAACGAAAGTGTTATTCACCATGATAGTCTAATGAAGGGAATCAATAATTATGGAGACATCCATAATTTGGCTGTGCTTGGGTATTAAATCATAGTCCGTAATTGAGACGTGGAAATTCTAATAACAAACAACTATGATATGACCAATGCATATGTGGTGAAATGGAGTTTATGTTATACAAGAAAAAAAACTAATGGACCAAACAATATTAAGTTACATTGTTAGGCTGTCTGTTCAATTATGTTTTCCTCGATTTAGTTTATCATGTTTAAACATGAACAAATCTAAGTTCCAGCGAGTTCAATTTGCATGGAGATACAGGAATAACAAACCCCGGGTAGCTGCACACATACAGAGATGACTGTGAGAATCAGTTCTGTACAACTCGCAAGCTCAAATCATCACTATCAAGTTGTATCGACAACGCATCCGTTCGGTTTGGTCATCGCTGAGTCATACCCTATGTATTTTGAACCGGATAGACCCAGCAGTAGAAACAGTGTCGCGTGATGCATAGGATGCTTTACGTCTACGTCAATTCATCTACCTATTACAATCAGGGGGTATATAAAGTCCTAAAGCGCTCAAGGACTTCATTTACCTTCCGACGATAATACCTAGATACACGAATTGACGAAGATGTCATTTAACTTAAGCATTAGCTAACTATGAATGTGGTTCGAAAAGGAAGAGTGTAGGAATTCTTTGAAGTGAAGGGGAGGAAGAGTTCTCTTACTCGCCCTAATTTAATTATAAAACTGCAGGTATTAAAACCTACCATAAAATTTATTAAGTCCTTAGGGTTTCAGCTAAATTTAACTCTTCAACCCTCCAAAACAAAATAGATTTTCAGAATTTTGAAAAACTATAGAGCTAGGGGAAATGTTGGCTTCGGCAATAACTTAACCTATTCTTGTCAGGGGGTAAACAAAATCCTAGAGCACAATAATAAAATTGAGCTCTCAAGGACGTTGTTTACCTTCTGACGATAATAGGTTAAGTTATTGCCGAAGCCAACATTTCCCCTATATGATTGTCAACATAAGAAGAATTTTTCACAGAAATTTGATGTGAATGCCAAATTAGTTTTAAGGAGATTTGGAGTGCTCCTAGCGATCGGATCTGGAATGTTTTGGGAATACCACCTCCGTCACGGTGAAGCGGACGAAGAAGAGGTAGAAAAATCAGGGCCAGTCCGATGGTGCGAGTGGACGTGACGGTGAACGTAAGTGACATCGATGATTTCGGCGACGCCGTCAACAACGAGGATTCTGCCGGCTCTAGTGCGGTAGAAATGCAGCTTCCCGGACTGGTGGTAATGAAGGTGCCACTCAACACCCTCATTGGCAATTTCATATCGCTGGGCGTCGCAGCTGAGTACAAGCTCAGTAGGATCGGCAGCAAGGTCATGCTAGGTACAAAAGCGGAGGATGATGTGGCCGTGAAACACCTGAAAGATTCCAAGGCGGAATTTTTCACGCATGACATCCCCGGTGAGAAGCCCTTAAATCAGGGGCCTACCAAACTTCGACCCCAAGATTATCGAAGCCGAAATCAAGGACCGGTACAAGCTGGTCCCAATCGCTGTATTCCGGATGACGAGAAGAGACGAAAACTTGAAGACGTACCCGGATTACCTTTTCCTGGTGCACTTCCAGAAAGGGACGGTGCAAATCATCTGTTCAATCTACTCCATCATCGTACGGTGGGAGTCATACCGTGACGTAACGCTGTGCCTCAACTTTGGACACGGTACCCGCAACTGTAACATCAAGCCCTGCGGATGGAACCGTGGTGCTAAAATGCGCCAACTGTGGTGGTGCGCATTAGACTGATGCAAAATTTGAAATTTTCGCTCCACAGTATTCAAACGGTTTCAAATCGGGTCCTGATTAGCCTCCGAAAGTTTAAACTCATTTGATAAGAAACTGACTTGGCACAAACCATTTGAAGTTTATATGGAAATCACTATGGGAAAACAAATTTTTTTGTTCATTGTCATCTAGCCTTTTTACATATTGTACTGTTAAAAAATTCTATAGCTATTCTTATGGGAATTTTTATCAGCTACAACTTCACAGAAAATCGTTTTTCAACCAAACGTCAAATTAAATAGTTATTAATTGTTTAAGAGATTGATAATCTTATGGCACGATTAAGCAACTGTATTGTGGGCAACACTGTATTCTGCAGTGTGACATAGTAGCCATGATTTTCGTCCTCTATTCTACGCGCCATAAACACCAATGTTGCCTGCTGAACAGTTGATTGAGCATAATCATAAGACATCAGTGACTTGAATCATTAATAATTTTAATTCCTTACATTTGATCGAAAAGTGGTCTTGAACAAAGTTGTAGTTGAGAAAATTTTCAACAAGCTCAGCTATCATTTTCTAAAGTAGAGTGAACTGGTAAATTTTGAGATAGATATGAACCAAAATTATGGTTTCTCCATAGTAAATCCCATATGAACTTCAAATGGTTTGTGCCAAGTCAGTTTCTCACTAAATGAGTTTAAATGTTTGGAGGCTAATCAGGGCCCAATTTGGAACCATTTGAGCACTGTGGAGCGAAAATTTCAAATTTTGCATCAGTCTAGTGCGCATCAAGGTTCCGACAGACAGTGCCCAAACTCGAGGACTTCAAACGCATCCGAAAGCAAGCGGCAATCAACAATCAATCAGGACAAAACCCCGACATTAGGACGGAGGATTTCCCGCGTCTTCGTGTTCCTCAGCAAAGGCAAGAGAAATTGCGTGTGCATCCCGCCTCCCTTCAAGAAACGGCAGGATCTTCTGCTGGACGAAGCTCTCCATCCCCCTGGATTCTGGAGACAACCAACAGCGCAAAACAACAACCCCGATCTGTTTTCAGCGGATGAACTGATGGAAATCTTCGTCAACATGACATGACCGGTGCTCTTCGTAAGTGCCGCAATAAGCCCGAGCAAATCCAAGTCCTCGGTAAGTTCAGTATGGCGTCTAAGCCGCTAACTATTGTCACCTAGAATGCTTGCTCTGTAAGAGCAAAAAACATTGAGCTTGCCGACTTCCTCCGCAAGCACAGCATCGACGTGGGCCTTCTAACCGAGACCCACCTCAAGTCCGGCGACAAAATCTGGCTGCCTGACCACATTATCCGGCTTGATCGCACCAGCTCCAGGGCGGGAGGGGGAGGTGGTGTTGCGGTCATCGTCAAGAAAGGAATTAAGTTCTACACCCTGCTTCACATCCGCACTTCTATCATCGAGGCTTTTAGTGTGGAGGTCGAATCACCAACTGGAAATGTCCGGTTCATCGCTGTTTACTGTGTGCCGCCAACAACGGATTAGTAAGCAAATTCAAGAACCACCTGACCGCTATCACTCGTTCTAGTTTCCGATTCATCGTTGGGGGTGACCTGAATGCCCGTCATGAAGCTTGGCGGAACTACCAGTGGAACCGGAACGAATCCAAGCCGGAGGTGCACAACGATCTCAGTTCCGACCACCAACCGGTGGTGGTTGAAATCGGCATCAACGTGGCTCCAGTTCCAAGGTAAAGACCACCACCACGTCAACTGGGTGAAGTTTGGACGTGTGGTTGACAGAGGCATCGACGAAGATCCGCCGCTTGACACCGTAGATGACATCGACCGGGCGTTGGAAGGACTCCAACAGGCCATATACGTGGCTGACGAAGCATGTGTTCGACAAGTTCCTGTGCGGGGTAAGTTTGTTGCTATTGATTCCCACACCCAATTACTGATTCGGTTGAGAAATGTTCGTAGACGCCAGTTTCAGAGGACTGGAGATCTGGACATAAAACGTGAAATGGCCAATCTGAACAGGCAGATTGCTTCCAGAATGAACTCACTCCGAAATGAAAGTTTGTTGTGCAGAATCTGGATGATCGCACTAGACCATTCTGGAAGGTAGCCAAGGTCCTGAAAAATGACCCCAAACCCGTTCCACCTCACCTCGGGATTGTATCTTATACTTCGGCCATGCTTTACGCTGTGCCATGATCTAGTTGTTGCACTTCAAAGGATTCAGGAAGATGATTTTGAAGTTACCTCTCTAGTGCAGTACTACCGAGGAACATAGAATTTCGAATGTTGAAACTATAGAACAAAAATCGTTGCAATCCTCAATTGCAACAATTAATTCCCTTTATATTCAGAAAAGATTTAGTTTTAAGTTCGACATCGTCGCTAAAACATTACCGCCCATCTGTTGAGTACACTGTGGTGGGCACTACACTGAACAGATGGCAGTAGTGTGTAAACGTCAAACGCAAGGGAATTGACATTGCGCGCCACAGGTGGCGGTACTACCAACTACGATACTTTTAAATTGTCCGTTAAATCCGTTGTTCTATGAGAAGCTAAATAGTTCGCGCAAAGGCTACGTGCCGCAAGCCGATATGTGCAAAGACTTGGACGGTAACCTTCTCACGAACGGTGATGCAACACGAAGGTGGCACGGCAACATACCTTGGAGCACGCGCTGAAGACGACAGGCTACCGGCCCCTGATCTTCAAGAAGTTGAGGAGGAGATCGGTCGGCTGAAGAACAACAAAGCAACTGGTGTAGATCAACTACCAAGTGAGCTATTAAAATACGGTGATGAAGCACTGGCCAGAGCGCTGCACTGGGTAATTGCCAAGATTTGGGAGGAGGAGATATTACCGGAGGAGTGGATGGAAGGTGTCGTATGCTCAATATACAAAAAGGGCGATAAGTCGGATTGCTGCAACAACCGCGCGACCACACTGCTGAGCGCCGCCTACAAGGTACTCTCCCAAATTCTATGCCGCCGCCTGTCACCATTTACAAGAGAGTTCGTGGGGCAAAACCAGGCGGAATTCATGGGTGCCCGCGCTACCACCGACCACATCTTCGCAATTCTTCTGCAGAAATGCCGCGAATACAACGTGCCCACACATCATTTGTTCATCGATTTCAAATCCGCATACGACACAATCGATCGAGATCAGCT